CTCCCCTGACTCCTCTTTCTCTCCCTCTCCAGTCCAAAGAGCAGTCAGGGTTCCCTGCCCTGTGGAAAGTCCAAGGTCTTCCCCCCTCCGTCCATGTCTAGGAAGGTGAATATCCAAACTGGCTAGGCTCTCACAAAGCCAGAACATGAAGTAGGATCTAAACCCAGTGCCATTGTCCTTGGCTTCTCATCAGCCCTCATTGTTCGCCATGTTCAGAGAGTCCGGTTTTATCCCATGCTTTTTCAGTCACAGTCCAGCTGGCCTTGGTGAGCTCCCAATAGATCAGCCCCACTGTCTCAGTGGGTGGATGCACCCCTCGTGGTCCTGACATCCTTGCTCATATTCTCCCTCCTTCTGCTCCTCATTGGGACCTTGGGAGCTCAGTCCGATGCTCCAGTGTGGGTCCCTCTCTCTATCTCCATCCATCGCCAGATGAAGGTTCTGTGGTGATATGCAAGATATTTGTCAGTATTGCTATAGGATAGGGTCATTTCAGGTTCCCTATCCTCAGCTGCCCAAGGAACTAACTGGGGACATCGCCTTGGGCTCCTGCGAGCCACTCTAGGTTCAAGTCTCTTGCCAACCCTAAGGTGGCTCCCTTAACTAAGATTTGTGCTTCCCTGCTCCCCTATCCAACCTTCCTTTATCCCAATCATCCTGTTTCCCCAAGTTCCCCCCTCCTCCCCTTCTCACTTTTCTCTCCCCATCTCCCCTTACCCCCATCCCACCCCACCCACAAGATCCCAATTTTTTCCCTGGCAATTTTGTCTACTTCCCATAGCCAGGAGGATAACTATATGTTTTTCATTGGGTTCACCTTCTTATTTAGCTTCTTTAGGATCACCAATTATAGACTCCGTGACCTTTATTTATGGCTAGAATCCAATTATGAGTGAGTACATCCCATGTTCATCTTTTTGGGTCTGGGTTACCTCTCTCAGGATAGTGTTTTCTATTTCCATCCATTTGCATGCAAAATTCGAGAAGTCATTGTTTTTTACCGCTGCGTAGTATTCTAATGTGTATATATTCCACACTTTCTTCATCCATTCTTCCATTAGAGGACATCTAGGTTGTTTCCAGGTTCTGGCTATTACAAATAATACTGCTATGAACATAGTTGAGCATATACTTTTGTTGTATGATAGGGCATCTTTTGGGTATATTCCCAAGAGTGGTATTGCTGGGTCCAGGGGTAGGTTGATCCCAAATTTCCTGAGAAATCGCCACACTGATTTCCAAAGTGGTTGCACATGTTTTCATTCCCACCAGCAATGGATGAGTGTGCCCCTTACTCCACAACCTCTCCAGCAAAGGTTATCATTGGTGTTTTTGATTTTAGCCATTCTGACAGGTGTAAGATGATATCTCAAAGTTGTTTTGATTTGCATTTCCCTGATCGCTAAGGAGGTTGAGCATGACCTTAGGTGTCTTTTGGCCATTTGAACTTCTTCTGTTGAGAATTCTCTGTTCAGTTCAGTGCCCCATTTTTTAATTGGGTTAATTAGCATTTTAAAGTCTAGTTTCTTGAATTCTCTATATATTTTGGAGATCAGACCTTTGTCTGTTGCGGGGTTGGTGAAGATCTTCTCCCAGTCAGTAGGTTGCCTTTTTGTCTTAGTGACAGTGTCCTTTGCTTTACAGAAGCTTCTCATTTTTAGTAGGTCCCATTTATTCAATGTTGCCCTTAATGTCTGTGCTGCTGGGATTATACATAGGAAGCGATCGCCTGTGCCCATCTGTTGTAGGGTACTTCCCACTCTCTCTTCTATCAGGTTCAGTGTGTTTGGACTGATATTGAGGTCTTTGATCCATTTGGACTTGAGTTTTGTGCATGGTGATAGATATGGGTCTATTTTCATTCTTCTACAGGTTGACATCCAGTTGTGCCAGCACCATTTGTTGAAGATGCTTTCCTTTTTCCATTGTATACTTTTAGCTCCTTTGTCGAAAATGAGGTGTTCATAGGTTTGTGGGTTAAAATCCAGGTCTTCTATACGATTCCATTGGTCGATTTCTGGTAATGCCTCCAGAAGATCCTTTATTGTATAAGATTGTTTTGGCTATCCTGGGTTTTTTGTTTTTCCATATAAAGTTGATTATTGTCCTCTCAAGATCTGTGAAGAATTTTGATGGGACCTTGATTGGGATTGCATTGAATATATAAATTGCCTTTGGTAGAATTGCCATTTTTACTATGTTGATCCTCCCAATCCAAGAGCAAGGGAGGTCCTTCCATTTTCTGGTATCCTCTTCAATTTCTTTCTTCAATGCCTTAAAGTTCTTGTCAAATAGATCTTTCACTTCCTTGGTTAGAGTTACCCCAAGATATTTTATGCTGTTTGTGGCTATCGTGAAAGGTGAAGCTTCTCTGATTTCCCTCTCTGCTTCCATATCCTTTGTGTATAAGAGGGCTACAGATTTTTGGAGTTGATCTTGTATCCTGCCACATTACTAAAGGTGTTTATCCGCTGTAGGAGTTTTGGAAATCAGCCCTGTGTCAGATATAGGGTTGATGAGGATCTTTTTCTATTCTGTAGGCTGTCATTTTGTTGTTTTGACAGTGTTCTTTGCCTTTCAGTTTTATGAGGTCCCATTTATTAATTGTTGATCTTAGTGACAGTATGATTGGAGTTCTGTTCAAAGAAGTTGTCTCTTATGCCGACGTCTTCAAGTATAATATCCACTTTCTCTTATATAAGATTTTCTGTATCTGGTTTTATGTTGAAGTTTTTGATCCAATTGGATTTGACTTTTGTACAGGGTGACAGATATAGATCTATGTTCTTCAACATGGTGACCTCCAGTTAAACCATCACCATTTGTTGAAGATACTTTCTTTTTTCCAGTGTGTTTCTGGCTTCTTTATCAAAAAACATGTGTCCATAGTTATGTGGATTTACATCTGGATCTTCAATTCAATTCCATTGATCAACCCATATGTTTTATGCCAATACTATGCAGTTTTTATTACTTCGGCTCTATAGTACACCTTGAAATCAGGGATAGTGATACTTCCAGAAGTTTCTTTATTGTACAAGATTGTTTTAGCTAACTTTTGGGTTTTTTAATTTCCATATGAAGTTGAGTATTATTCTTTGAAGCTCTGTAAAGAATTGTGTTAGAATTTTGATGGGAATTGCATTGAGTCTATAGATTGTTTTTGTTAAAAATAACCATTTTAATATGTTAATCCTACCAACCATGAGCACGGGAGATCCCTCGATCTCCTGATATATTCTTCAATTTCTTTTCACAAAGACTTGAAACTCTGGTGATACATGTCTTTCACTTGCTTGGTTAGAGTTACACTAAGATATTTTATATTATTGTGGCTCTTGTGAAGGATGCTGTTTCCATAATTTATTTCTATTATATCTCATTTACTATTTGTATATACAAGGACTACTGGTTTTTTTTAGTTTATTTTGTATCTAGCCACTTAAAGTGTACATCATCTATAGAAAAGTTTCTTGATATAACTTTGCAGTATCTTATCATATCATCTGAAAATAGTGATATTTTGACTTCTTCCTTTCTAATTTGTATCCCCTTGATCTCCTTTGGTTGTCTTATTGTTCTAGCTAAAACTTCAACACTATATTGAATAAATATGTAGAGAGTGGACAGCCTTGTCTTGTCCCTGATTTAAGTGGAATTGCTTTAAATTTCTCTCCAAGACTTTTATCATGAAGAGGTATAGAATTTTGTTAAAGGCATCTAATGAGATGATTATGTGGTTTATCCTTTCAGTTTGTTTATATGATAAGTTACACTGACAGTTTTTCATATATTCAATCATCCCTGCATCGCTGGGATGAAGCCTATTTGGTCATGGTGGATGTTCTTTTTATGTGTTCTTGGATTTGGTTTGTGAACTTTGGAAGTTGCTTACAATGCACTTCCTGTTTACTTAGGTAATATTATAATCCTTTTGGGATCTTTGATAGAGTTGAAGACTAGACAGTTATAATTATAGTTTTCCTTAGTTATGATTAATTAGATATAAAACTTTAGATTCACAAAGGTAGGATAAATAATAGATTTTCCTTAATTTGCCAAATGTGAATAGACTAAATATTGTAACTATAATTCTTGCTTAATAACTGTTACATATATGTAATTTTACTATGTTAAAGTTAATGCTTTCTTTTTTAATTAGACAGAAAAGGGGAGATGATGTGGGATGTCCTTTTGTACATGTGTTGCTTTTATTGGTTGATGAATAAAGCCATTTTGGCCAATGTCTTAGCAGAGTAAAGTTGGGGGAAATCCAAACAGAGATATAAAGAAAGAGTAAACAAAGATGCCATGTAGCTGCTGAAGGAGAAAGATGCCAGAACATTACTGGTAATACACAGCCTCGTGGCAATATATAGATTAATAGAAATAGACTAATTTGAGATGTAAGAGCTAGCTGTGAATATGCCTGAGACATTGGCCAAACCGTATTATAATTAACAGAGTTTCTATGTGATTATTTGAGTCTGGGAAGCCAGGAAATAAAAGTGCAGTCTCTGTCTACACCTGTTTTATAACATAGGTTCTGGGTATCGAATATGATTCTTCATGCTTCCACAGCTTCCATACTTTATCAATTGAACCATCTCCTTAGACAAACAAGTAGAACATTGAATTGACAAGACAGATACATTAATTGCTATTTAACTCTAAGTTGGAAACAGAGAGCAAAAACAATACTTACTATCCCTACTTTGTATTCACAGTAAACACCAAAGCAGGGGCATTCACTCTAATAACTAATATTTACTCTCCCTGTGACTGATACTCTAAGTTATTCCCAATACCAGAAACTGTTCTTGGGTTTGGTTTTTCTTGTCCAAATCCAAATGTCTAGTAACTGCCAAGAAAGTATTTCTGTCCTTTTCTTCTTGGCCCCTTTCTTTGTAAATCTTTATGAGAACAAATATGGCCTCTTGAAACTTTATTTTCTTTACTTCTTCCTTGCATTATGCTCAAATAAAAGAGTGTCTGAGAACCACCCCAGAAATTAGTTTTTATTCAGCACATGCAGGGGACAGATGGCTCTGGATTGTCATAAAGATTTTACTGTTTTACAATAAAACTCATATTATCAATAGTTAACTGAATCATGAATATGAATGCTCACTACATAAGTATTGCAGGGAAGTGCCATGTAATATAGGAGATGAAAGCATTGATCTGTGTATTGACCCAGAGAACTCTGCTTACTGAGCCTCACTGGATCTCAAGGGAATGGGGAAATGTGAGAGAAAACAACTATATTACCAGGAGTGAAATAAACCGTACCCTGCGGAAGTTTCACGTTGACAGCATAAGGAGGCTGCCCTTTACACGGGAATAAAACAAGCCTGGTATGAAGGGGGCACATGACCAAATCCGCTGGTAATTGGTGTGGTATCAATATCCTTTACATCAATCAGAGGCTTCAGGTTAAAATTCTGTAAAATGGTAGTGAAGAACAAAAAGAGCTCCATGCGAGCCAGGCCTTCTCCTGCACACATCCGCTTTCCTGAAGACAGCAAAAACAGATTTGTTACTGAATTTCTGTGCTGTGAATTGACATGAAGAGTATGAAGTAAATAGCCAATGAGTTGTTAGGTGTGTGGATAGAAGACACACACCACATTCGCAGCTCCAGACACAGCTCCCTTCACCCATCTCTGACACCGTGAAGTTGAAAACTTCAACTTCCACCTTTGACTGAGCAATGCTCTGATGCTTCCCCAAGGAACTATAACCTTTCCTCTTTATGTTCCTTGCGATCTCAATAAGATCATCTCCTCTGTGGGTTTCCTCATCATATGCATAATTCCATATAGCTGGGATTGCTTGAATCCCATGCTGTCTTATCTCTTGTCTCCCTACCAAAATGAGTTTCTTAAGAAAAAGGGCTCTGTATACACATCTCAATTTACACACTTTCAAGACCAACCTAAGAATCAAACCCTATAGCAAAAGGTAAAAGCGAATCCATGCCCAAGACTCAGCACACATAATGGAGCATTGAGATTAAACATCCAAGGTGAAGGATCATAAGTAAAGTAAACTCTAAGGGTGTGAGAGTCACTGTGGAGTATCCTTCCTCATGCCCAAGGTCTTTATCTGCCTGCATTTACTCAACAGGTTCTGACTTCCTGCATCTACAGAAAATGTCTGTCCCCCTGTACTTCATTTCCTCTGTACAGTTCCCTGCCTCCTCTTCTTTTCCTTCCTTCCGCCCTGTGAGTCAGCCAATTTTCCTCTGTGGGTATAAAAGCAAGATCTAAGTACCTTCCCCTCTGACGCCTCTCACAACACTAGTCCAGCTGGATTACATTGCCTTGTTGACTCACCTGCTTCCTTCACTCAGGAGTGAGTCTCTTTCAGAGCATGAGTGTGTTCTATTCTCTAGGGCACTTGCGTTCCCAGAGTGAAGGATGCCACAGAGGAGATACTCAAAATGTGGACTTAGATATCCCTCTCATGGCAGATGAGGAAAAGTCTAAATGATATCAGCTTCCAAGAGAAGCTTTGGGGAAGCTGGGGGTTATATCTAGTGGCCAAGTTCGATCAATAAATACACTTTGCTTTCTTAACTTGGATAAAACTATGCTAGACTCTGCAATGTTCACTGATATGTCCCAATAAGGAGGAATTATTATGTGTAGAGAAAATACACAGTAATTAAAGTTGTGCTCTTTATAACATACAAAGAGCAAATCTACCAGTCCCGGCGAAGTCACTATGGACTTTGCACCTGGCCCTAAAATTCCATTATGTCCTCCAAAGTACAAACGGAAGTGAATTTCTGTTACCTGTTGAGAAAGGCACAAAGTAATCGCTCTTCTTAAAGTTGCCACTCTCGTCCAGAAAGTGACCAGGGTCAAACTTCTCTGGATTAGGAAATTCTTTGTCATCATACAGCACGGATGTCAGTGATGTTATTACGGTGGTACCCTGAAAATAACCAACAGACATAATGAAATTTAGATGGGAAAAAGTGACGGAACTCATCTAGATCAATCTGTTTAATTTATGGATAAGATACTGTGTCCAAAACAGAGCAGTGACATTTACACACAGACCAAAGAAGAAGAGAGATGAGTTGACATTAGTCCCCGGTTAGGGGTGAACTTCATGCCCACCCCCCCCCATGTTCTGGCTTAAGTGTTTATAGGTCTCACACATGCCATCACAACTGCTGTGAGTTCATAGGTGTAACTGCCTACTTATGGCCAGAAAACACTGTTTCTTTGTAGTTATCTACTACCTTTGGTTCTTACAACCTTTCTGCCCTCTCTTCTAAAATTGTCCTTTAGCCTTGAAAGGAAGAGGTGATAGAGATATCCCATTTGTGACAGGGCATTCTGAGATCTCTTGATATTACTAAAAAATATAATCAAACTGTGTGGGGGATAATATTAGTATATTGATAATTTCTCCAGTGTGAGGGTGTTTATCAATTTGTAGCAGAAAGTCTTCAGTCTTGGAAGATACACATTACAGTATTTAGGTTGAAGTGTGATAGATTTAATAGACTAACATATAGTTCTAAACACATCTTTATACCCTCTATGCACATATTGTACAAAAACACAGTCTTATATCCACTTAAGTGTTAACTGAGTATATCTACTCTCCTAGTTACTCCAGCTATCAACTTCCGCAGCCCAGAGTTATAAGAGGAAACTTGAACTGAGGTATGTCTGTGGGGCACTATCTTGATTGATGATTGACATGAAAGGGCCCAGCCCACTGTGAGTGGTGTCATAAAACTGAACCTGGGTTATATAATAAAGCTTTCTGGACAACAGCAAGGGAAAGCGCGCCAGTAAGCAGCATTCTTTCATGGCTTCTGCTTCAAGTTCCTGCCCTGCCAGACTGATTGCCCTGCTAGTTTTCCTGACCTGACTTTCCTCAGTGATGGACTATGACCTATAAGATTACTCTTTCCTCCCTAAGTTGCCTTTAGACATAGTGCTTATCACGGCAACAAAAAATCAAGCTAGTAATGTTTAATGAAAAGTTAGAAACTCCATGTTTCTAAGCTTATGAAATTTAAGAGCCATGCCTTTCTTTTAAAACACTTCTGCATATTACTACTTTAAATATCCCCATATATTTGCAACCATAGTAGAAACCAATGTGTGAATGGAAACGTCACCAACACTAAGTGGCAGAGAGAACCCAGCTTACCTTGGGGATGAGGTAGTTTCTGAATTTAACATCACAAGTCACTGAATGAGGCAGGTTCGTGGGGATGAGGTCAATATACCTCTGGATCTCATGCACTACAGCATCGGTATAGGGCATGTGGCTCCTGTCCTGCATGCAGGGGCTTCTGTTTCTGCCAACCACACGCTCTATCTCTTCCTGAACTTTAGCTGGTAAGACAGGGTGGGAAATGAAGTAATGGGAGAAAAGTGGTACAACTGCCACAGCAAGTCAGTGCTCCATAGAGTACAATGAAGGGGCCTCAACAGCATCACAGGCCCTAAGCACATCTAGACTTGTAATACCACAGTACACTGTAACTACCTAAAACCCGGGCATTCATTAAGTAGATATGCTTCTACATATTATCATACAGGATAATCAATGCACATAAGAATGCTTAAACACTTCACTATATACATAGATATCTTACAAGAAGCTACTATCCCAGTAAGTTCAAAAACCAGAAAATAAGAATTAGTGTCATATGAAATTAACATATGGTAGGAGAACCTGACAGATAGGGGTGGAAGTGCCACGTGTGCACACATACACACCTGTTTATCTGCAAATTCCCAGTGGTTCTCTGTCTTTCCTTCGTATCCCAAAAGCACTCACTATAAACATTCTTTGTTTTCTTATTTATTTATTTACTTATTTATTTATTTATTTTGTATACAATGTTCTGTCTGAGTCCATGCCATAAGAGGGCACCAGATCTCATTATAGATGGTTGTGAGCCACCATGTGGTTGCTAGGAATTGAACTCAGGACCTCTGGAAGAACAGCCAGTGCTCTGAGCCATTTCTCTAGTCCTTCAAAATATTCTTTAAGTGTCTTAGGCAATTTATGTTCACATTCAAATTTCTATTTTTTACTGTACCATTTACAAGCAATTTCCTTTTAAAAGAGATGAGGAATCAGATATTTATCACCATCTCATACAAAATAGATAACAGACTCTCTTTCTTTCTTCCTTTCTCCCTCTCTCTCTCTCTCTCTCTCACACACACACACACACACACACACACACACACTTCCACACTTCTCTCTCCTGCAGTACACTTATGACTTTTATTATATATGCACTAATTCTTATATAATCAGTGTGCCTTCATGAATATTCTCACAGGTAAGGGAGCTGTGGTTGTGCTATATGCATTATATACTCTTGAGCATAAAAGAGCCTATTTAAATTCCTAACACTGGATGCTAACTTTCAATTATTACAAATGTTTAAATATGTTTTGAACCCTAGAAATTATTTTTATTTATTAGAGTTCATTAAATTGTCACCCCTGTCTCTCCTCTAAGACTCCTCATGCACACACAATGTAGTGTCCATCCTGAAGCCAGAATGTGAAGCGTTGTTATGTTGCTATGAGGAATCCCGGCACCGACCCTGAATCCCTCTCCCACATGTGTCGGCCACCACTGTCACATGTGTCAGAACTGATGTGATCCCATCCAACAAGGCTGCTCAACTGAGCTAGCAAATGGCAGTGAGACACTCTCCAGCCTCCAAAACTGTGAGCTAAATAGAATTTCTTCAGAAAATATCTAGTCTCCATTATTTCATATATTGAAAGAAAATACTCTATGACACATGCCATACCCTTCTATCCTTCAGGAAACCAATGTACCAACCTACACCAGTTGGTGACACATATGCCTTGCTACAGGCACCTCCCATCAAAGGCAGACACCTTATCAGAGTAAGGTCTCTAAAATCAGAGCTTCTGCTACTGTTCTTGATGTCTTGTTTCTCTCAGCCACTCTCTCCTATTATGAAAACCTATTCTTATTTCTTCCTCATATGTACATGTTACAGCTAGAAACAGAGCAATTTCAATAATGGTGTTTCTCTAAGAGGTTATGGGTTTCTCTGGTCCCCTGTCTACAGTCATACCTGTGACATCCGTGTGCTTCATCAGTAGCAGGAGTCCATACCTCAAAGTGGTACTTGTTGTTTCTGTTCCGGCTCCAAACATGTCAGTTACAGTCGCCACCAAGTTTTCTATGGTAAACTCAGACTTTGGATTGTGCTTTTCCTAGGATTTATGTGGATATTATTTTGGTTTGCTGGCATACTTAATCGTAGTGAATCAAAATTAACTCAGGTTGTTCTTAAGATAAGAAACAAACAATGACAAGTCTAATAGTAAAGCTACAATACCTAGACAGGATAGCAGAAAATGTGATTAGTTTGCCCACTCTTTATTTCTCATTCTCCAAATGGGTAAAATTTTCAATGTTCTCATCACAAAGAAATGATACCTAAGTGAGGTAATGGATATGCAAATTGGCCTGATTTGATGATTTAATTATATACATGTATGTATATAGATCAAGGAACCACATTGTACCCAAATACATATTATATGCTTAAAGCAATGTAGTTAGTTTTCCACAACTTTTTTGACAACACACCAAGAAAAAAACAACTTATAAGAAGAAAGATTCACTGCTGTTCATGGTTCAGTTGTTTTGTCTTTGGCACTACTTGGCCTGAGACGCTGGGCATACTGGGAGACGGAACATAAGGGCAGAGAGAAATACAGTAGAACAAAGCTGCTCAGCTCTCATGGCTAGGAAGCAAAGAGAAGAGACAAGGGCATCAAACCGAGGAAACAGTTCAATGACCTAACTTCCTCCAACTAGGCAGCACCACCTAAAGCAGTGGTTCTCAACCTGTGGGTCACAATTCCTTTGAAGAGCTTATATCTTCAAAAATATTTACATTAAGGTTCATAACAGTGGGGCTGAAGAGATGGCTCAGTGGTTACGAGTACCGACTGCTCTTCCAGAGGACCTGAGTTCAATTCCTAGCACCCACATGGAGGCTCACAACTGTAACTCCAGTTCCAGGGGACCTGACACCCTTAGCAAAACACCAATAAAATTAAAATAAATAATTTTTTAAAAAGATTTATAGCAGTAGCATGTTTACAGCTATGAAGTGGCGATGAAAATAATTATATGGCTGGTGGTCATTGCAACATGAGAACTGTATTAAGGGGCTGCAGCATTAGGACGGTTGAGAGCCACCTTCAGAAGGTTCTGTTACCTTCCATAAGCATCTTCATCTGGGAAGCAGGTCTCTAGCACACGGCTCTTGGATTTACAGAAGTAGAGACAGGTGTGGAAGAGTAGCCTCAGAGAATAAAGGAGCATAACGTTGCCGATTAGGGCCACTGGGAGGCTGGGCCCACCACCTCAGGCCACTCTCTGCCTGGCCTCACCACCAAGGAGGGGGTCCTCAGGGTTGCAAACCTGGGGTATCTAAGGGGCTTCAGGAACCGAGGGCAGGGTGATGTTCAGAGGCCTGGAGCTTGGGCAGGTCCTACGCTCAGACACGCAGTCCAACCACACGGTCACCATGACTCTGAGCAACAAGATATCCAAGATGAAGAACAGTTCAGCTCCTGGACTGTCTCTTCAAAAGATTTCTGAGGTCCATGCTGCCCCCCAAAACCATTTGGATATCTATGATCCAAGCAGCCACTGTAAACCATGCTGATGTCCACAATCCCTGCTGCTGCCTGCTGCTCTGAGCGAGTTAGCTTTTGCAGTGGTATCAATGTCTGCAGACTCATAAGTGAGAATAAGAGACTGTGACGGCTTCTGTGACAACCTCCCCCCTCCATCCCTTCACCCCTAAAAACAGAAATAGTCCAGAGAGGAAGCTATTGAAGAGAGCCCTTTAAAATTGTGATAGAGATGTTGAAGCATAGCTCTTCACACTTGATGGCTTCTGATGGAGGAGGCTCATCTGTCTTATCTGTTGCTATTATTGGTTAATTAATAAAGAAGCTGCTTGGCCTTTGATAGGCCAGCCCTTAGGTGGGTGGAGTAGACAGACAGAATGCTGGGAGAAAGAAGCCGAGTCAGGTAGTCGCCATGATTCTCCCACCCGACACAGATGCAGGTTAAGATCTTTCCTGGTAAGCCACACCTCGTGGGGCTACACAGATTATTAGAAATGGGTTAATCGGGATGTGAGAGTTAGCCAATAAGAGGCTAAAACTAATGGGCCAGGCAGTGTTCAAAAGAATACAGTTTCTGTGTAATTATTTCAGGGGTAAAGCTAGCTGGTTGGCAGGAAGCGCCCCGCCGCTCCTACTACAGGCTTCTACTGGAGCAGGGAGGACTCAGTTTTCTTTAAGGGTCTGGGCACTGGGAGTTTGACCATGCTCCACTGAGCACGATTGGACTTGGTGATTTGTTTGCTTTTTTTATTTTTTTTTCTGGTGCAGAGGCACAAGAGTGGAAGGGTGAACCTGGGAGGAATGGGAAGTGAGTGTGATCTGGGAGCATTGTATGAAAATCCCAAATAATTAATAAAAATGTTATGTTAGGGAAAAAAATCAGAATGTCAGTTTGGTGAAAGGAACTGATAAATTTGCATTCATGAGTGAGCTTTACTGAGAGGGCCTATCAGCTGGTTGCTGACGCTTCATGCAGGTCCAAAGAGCAACACAGTTTATGGAATTCACCTCAGTTCACGGAGGTGAAGTCATTGCGTTACAGAGACCTAAGAGTTCAGCCTAACCCAGGCTAACTGTGCAGTCTTCACAGCATTATACAAGCCCATCTCCATGATAATAACAACTCTCCCCTACCACCAGACAAGGTGTAGATCAAGAGTAATTTGTTTCTTCCTACCATCAGTTTCTCCTAATTATTTAGCTTTTTCTGCTCTTTGCCTCACCTCAGTTCAAGGAGTACACTTATACATACACATGCTATTATTATATCTATATTATGCTTCTCACCCAGTTTCTGAACTCCTCCACCATTATTCTTTGATATATATGTAACATTTTATTAAATTTTTGAAAATTTTATTCAGTCATATAATGTGCTTTGATCTTATTCACCCCCTCTCTTCCTCCTAATTCCTTCCAGATCTGACTCCCATCTCTCTGTCCCCTCTCAACTTCCTGTCTTCTTTTTATTGTTGTTTTTCTATAACCCATGGAATACAATTTGTGCTGGCCAAATACACATGGGTGCATGCTGGGCTTTACCAGGGATCACATCCTTAAAGGAAGCCAACTCCATCTTTCTCAGAAGCTATCAATAAGTCTTCAGCCAAGAGTGTGGACTGGACTGCTCTTATAGAGATCTTGTGTGGGTGCTCACAGTAGCTGTGAGATAATGAGTGCATCAATCCTGTCCTGTCCTGAAATTTTGTTTTGGTCCAAGCCTCCCTGATCTCTGGCCTTTAGAATCTTTCCACCTCACTTCTACAATGGTTCCTGAACTTTCCCTACCATGATTCTAATTGCACATATCAATATTTTTCTCTCGGTTAAACTTATCGAAACACAGACTGGGTCTTACTACTGAACATTCCCACATAGCTCCTGCTATTTGCAGAATCTATGGCATCAACTAAACCAAAGCCTATAGGACTCTGATAATATAAGATGGACACCGAGGGTTTATTTTTGAATCTACACTTCTATAATCCAGACTTGTATCAAGCTAAAGTGCACACAGATGATAAATCTCAGTGTTCCTCTTCAGTATCAGTGCTCATCATATAGATCAGTCTGTGGAGTTCACAAGAAATTTACCCTAAGTGTTATCTGTGTTAGACTCTAGTTCAGGATCATATATACAGTATCAAAGCTTCCCACACCAGTAGGTAGGTTTGTAGAGTGCTTGAAAACATTTCCACATCCTTATTTGGACAGAATTATTTCCAGCTATGTGGTAGCCCACCAGTGATTCAGTTTCCATCTGGAGTCCATTCTGACTTATAAGTCATTTCAGTTCAAGCTTGCTTGCTCCAGTCTCCTTAAGGGCTGTGAGAATGTTCTGATTAAGTCCATGGGAAAGAGCACTTTGCCCATGAGAAAGAACATACTGCCTAGTAGAATTCATACTGCTGACACCAAGCCTAAGGCACATACATCAAGATAGAAATTGAAACTGCTTGCAAGCAGCAGGCACATGATAGATAGGAAATTGCTTGCACAAGGACAGTAATAGCCTTGTGGTTTTAGATACTGTCTGTCTATGTCATTCTTTGTTCTGCTTTTGTTTATAAGAAGGCTTTGAAATAAACCCTGGGCTGTTTGGTATTAACCAATAGACCTCCAAATCTTTCCTGTGTCTCTGTCTAAGTTTCCTCAATCCTCACAACAGCTTCCAGGTACCCTAATTGACTCATCGGCAGACTCCGACACAGCTGTGTTCAACTATGGTTCCCTACCCCATCTCTTTACCTTATCATTATGCCCATGTGAATCCTCTCCCCTGTTCCTCATTGAAAATCTGTACCAACCCTCAGGTCATTCAGGAAATGTGCCCAGCAAGCTTCTTCTCATTCTCGTAAGTGCTTTCTTCCCAGTCTCCCACACAGGCCCATACAACCACTTTTATTTCAATGCTGGGTATTTTAATCACCTGACTTGTTTACTTCTACTTCATCTGATGTGTATGCTCTCTTTCCTCAGACTCAGCGTTAGTCCCTAAAAGCGGCGCCCATGTGTTCTAGTTATTTAGCAATTTAGTTTTAAATCCTCCAGGATTGCTAGTCCAGTTTCATGCACACAGCAGGTACTTAAAGAGTTTACCAATTGCTTCTTGCCTGAACAGTTATATGTTCTGAATAATTACAGAACTGATGAACAAATCGCAAAATGCAAGCCAACAAATAACATTTTACCTGTTTCATTTTGATCAAGAAACAATCAATGAAGTCCCTTGGATTGGCCATATCCAGTGTTTTTTCATGTTCTTTCACTTTCTCCAAAACATAATTTTTTACATAGAAGAAATTTTTAAGTACTTGGTTATGACTTCCAGGTAAATAATCAATAATAGCAGGGAAAGTATTGCACACCTTGAAGATTAAGAAACATTAAATACAATTAAAGACATGAGTACCATAACCCTGGTCAAAAACTTGGGTGGCATTACCAAACACTAGGTGGAGCTAGGGGAACTCCTCATAAGAGTGGTCCAGGAAACCAGGAGAATGTGGCCACAGAATTAACTTAGTAAGGCTCAAAGGGGCTCACAGAGACTAAAGCAACAATCATGGAGTCTGTATGGGTCTGAGCAGATCTTCTGCAAATATATGTTCTTGTGGGACTCCCAACAGTAAGAGTGGGGGTGCTCTTGCCTGCTCTTGGGACCCTTTTCCTCCTACTGGGTTGCCTCATCCAGCCTTGATGTGAGAGTTTGTTGCTAGACTTATTGTATTTGGTTAAGTCATGTTTAGTTGATATTCCTGGGAGGCCTGCTCTTTTCTGAAGGGAAACAGAGTAAGAGTAAATCTGGGGAAGAGGTCAGGCAGTGGAGAAGGACTGGGAGGAGTGGAGGGAGAGAAATTGCAATCAAAATGCAATCTATAAGAGAATAATAAAAAAAACTAGGGTGAACTTGAGGAGAAACATTTCAGTGCACATGACTGGATAAAAGGAAGCATTGATAGAGGCTGCGCTAAACTGGTCATATGACCAGACATGATAAGCATCTCCAATATCCAAGCCAATAATGTTTACATTACTAGTCCACTCTCTCGTTTTTACCTACAACTGTGAGATACAGAAAGGCCCATGGCTCATCTGCATGAGGTAAACTTCAGAGGTCAAGGAAGTTCAGTCAAGTTCAAACAGACCAGCGTCACTCCCTGATACTTCTACCAGTAACACTGGCCTCAGGAATAAAATCATGCTGTATAACTGGGAAGGGCTCAAAGATATCATGAAACTCAACTCCGCATTTTATGAGCAAATGCTTGCACACACAGCCATGGCCAGATGATTCCTATAAAATCAGAGTGATGCCAACTTGATAGAGGGTGATGCTATTGAACATGACAGCCCAACAGAGGGCTATGTTTTAGACACTCCAAATGCTGAGTATCTTAAATAACCTGACTTTCATTACTTTCTCAGCTAGAGTTCCAGCTGCAGCTGGCCTCTGAGTCTCTGGTTTGGAACCCCGATTACTCAGAGTTTCCTGGCAGCATCTGCTCCCATTTTCTGTCTTTGATATCCTCAATTAGGAAATAACTACCAAATAACGGGATGAAGATGACTCTAATTTTCGATTGGTAGGCAAGCCTGTGGATGGCAGAAGGTTCTCAACAAGTCCTTAGACAGTCACTGAGAGCCTGGGCATGTCTCTGTCACTACCGAAGTGCTGCCTGCACTCTGTAGTTGGGTGGATGGGGCTTGACTTGCAGCATCTGTCTTTCATTCTGAAGAATAAAGGATGTCTCTTTCGGAGATGTTCACGGGATCCTGAGAGGACAGTGATGTGGAAACATTCTCTTTGTGGGTAAGCAGGACCCATCCTTCCACACAAATAGACACACACACATGCACGCGCACACACATATGCACACATACACACACATGCACAGAAAAAATTAAAACTGTCTGAGACGACTTTGTTAGTTAGAATGATGGAAAATAGTCATGATAAGTTGAGGGTTTTTAAAGGATGGGATAGAAAAGCTTTGTAGCATTGTTTTGCCCTTGTCTTGCCTCTGCCCTGTCTTCATGGTATTCTTAACAAGAGCCCTGTTCCCAGTGTGTGGAACTATGGCCCTTGGTTCCAGGGTGGGGAGGGGGCAGGGGGAATTGTTTTTCTGTTTTAGCCCAAAGGAGGGAGGGGAAGCAGAGCTGAAGAACTGAGCTCAGCATTTGTGTTTGCTTCATCTAACACACAACTCCTTAGGGTGGAAAAGTTGTAAAAACTACCAAAAAAAAAAAAAAAAAAAAAAACCTTATAATGCCACTAAGCAACACAGGGCCACCTGGAGCAAAGAACGTAATGAAAGCTCCCGGCAGAACACTGAGACCATGGGAAGAGGACTGGAAAGAGAGTATCCTTGGGAAATCAGGTCACTCGAAAGCATCCACATATATTGATGTTTTCAGAACGCCAGGGCACGCCCACAACAAGGACAAGCTAGGAAAAGTCCAGGAATAGAACCCCAAGCTTTTCCTTCTGCCGGCTCCTGAGCTCTGTCGGGCGGGATTTCTCCTCCCTATCTCTTCCGTTCTTCATTCCTACTTCTCGTCTTTGGCTTTCTTCCTTACTTCATTTTGTATCTCTACCCTATAGCCTCCTCCCTTCCTTCTCTAACTCATCTTATTCTCACCTTCTTCGTCATCTAGAACTCTCACAGCCAAGTAACTTCTGTCAGAAACTAAAGAACAGAGACTTTGGAGGAAAAAAGAACACAAGCTTTACAGAAACAGCTTAGAGAAGCTACTAAGCAAACACTTTCTGTCTGCAGAACACAAAAGGCACAAAGGAAAAATTAAAAACCTATAGCACCAATAGTTGGGGATGTGACTCAGCAGTAAGGAGAACAATGCTCATGTTGAAGGACTGGAGTTGGGTTTCCAGAACCTACATGCGGCAGCTCATAACCGCCCATAACTCCCGTTCTGCAGGCACCTGTACCCCCACCCACCCACATGGGGCACACACGCACGTGCACACACACACACACAGAGCATACACAGAGCTGAAGAATATGTTTTCAAAAAAGAAAGAACTGCACATCTCATCTCTAAATTGTCCAATCTAGAAACCCTCACGCCACATCTCAGTCCCCATCATTCTGTGGACTTCACAGAGAAAAGAGTCCAGATGCTTCCTTAGGAAGAAGTCTTTTGATCTCACCTGTATCCATGGGGTGCTCAAGAGTCTGAGATTTTCATTAAATTTTTCCATCAAGTTAAGAAAACTCTGATCTTTATAATCAAAACGATTCTGGAAAATAATGGAGCAGATGACATTGCAGGGAGCACAGCCCAGGATGAAGGTGGGGTCACAGGGTGCTCCTGGGGAATGGGAGATGTTAAATATAACTGTTAATATATGACCATAAAAGACTCCTTGGTACCATATTAAGATAATTTTAGAAACTCAAAGTTAACAAGTTCCTACAAATTCTCTACCAGGTAGAACTGCAACATACAGAAAATCAACACTCTGTTTTGCTCAGACCTGACTTAGTAATTCCTTCTCACCTTGTTTCCGGATGGCTATCCAAATGCTATGTTCATGTCCACTGCCTTTATTTACACATCTGGCCCAAGTGACTTCTTTTGCAAGCAAAAAAAGAATGATATGAAAGAGATACATTTTAAAATAGGTATTAAAATACTCCTGGGCATGGTGGTACACACCTGTAAGCCTAGCAATCACAAGGAAGAGGAGGAAAGCTGAGAGGTCTCCACCAGTCAGAAAGTTCTAGGCCGGTCTGAACTACACAAGACCCTTGTCTAAAAGAAAAAGAAAAAGAAAAAGAAAAAGAAAAAGAAAGGAAGGAAGGAAGAAAAGAAGAAAGGAAAGAAAGAAAATAACAACAAAAAAGTTGAAGACCTAACAGTTACACAGAATCACACATCTGTAGAAAACTTGTAGCCAATCAAACATTAGCCTAGGAAGGAAGAAAAAAACAGTTTGACAATTTTTAACACAGATGGATAATTGAAGGAATTACAAATAGAACAAGCAGAGAGGAAGAGTAAAGAGAGAAAGATTATAAAAAAATGCATGCCCTTGGTGGGACAAATGTAAAAATATGGAGAGAGAGAGAGAGAGAGAGAGAGAGAATATTTTTTTTAAAAAAAAAAAAAAGCATTACTTTGTAAGCTGGAGACATGGCTCTGCAGTTAAGAGCACTGACTGCTCCTACATAAGACCTGAGTTCAGTTCCCAGCACCCACATGGCAGTCCACAACTGTCTATAACAGTAGTTCCATGGGACTCGATCCCCTATTCTGAGGTGCAGATGTATATGTAGACAGAATACCCACACACATAAACAAATAAATCAATAATAATAATAATTTTAATAAAATAAAATAAAAATAACCACACCCTGTCCTAGTGATGCAGGCAGGTAATCCTAGTTATTAAAGAAAGTGAAGCAAGACTATTATAAGTTTTCACCCTTCCTGGGCTACAGTGAGTTTGAGGTGATCCTGGACACATTAGAGAGACCCTATCTCAAAAAAAAATATGCCTCCAGACAGTCTGCTCTTCGGGCTGATGAGAGAGGGGTAGTTGATTGGGGGAGGGATATGGGAGGCGGTGGCGGGGAAGAGACAGAAATCTTTAATAAATAAATATTAATTAATTAATTAATTAAAATAAATAAATAAAAAATAAACAGCAATAAAAATAAAATAAAATATGAAATCAAAGATTTTTATATAACTCAGTGGTTGAAACTTCTTAACAGATGTAAGACCCTATGTTCCATCTCCAATACCATTTTTTAATCCAAAAAGAACACATATTATTAGAAGATAGGTTTACCTAAAGTAAATTAAACTTTTTACAATTTCATTTCTAATTTAAATCACATACAGGTCAAACATAAAGATTAAATTGATAAATAGTATCCTTTACTTCTTCTTTAGGTGTTGAAAAGAAAAATAACAAGAATTTCCTATTCTGAAAATATTTACAATCACCAGCCAGATCCCACATTTGCTTAGCAAACCTCGCCCTCTAGTGGAGAACTATACTATTGCGCGACATAGTCATCAACAGAATACTACAATTCTTTTTTTTTAAGATTTATTTATTAATCAAAACAACTCTGAGATTCCATCTTACACCTGTAAGAATTGCCAAGATCAAAAACACTAATGACAACTTATGCTGGAGAGGTTGTGGGGTAAAGGAAACACTCCTGCATTGCTATCGGGAGTGCAAACTGGCACAGCTGCTTTGGAAATCAGTATGGCAATTTCTCAGAAAATTAGGAAACATCCTTCCTCACGACCCAGCAATACCACTTTTGTGTATATACTCAAAAGATGCTCAATCGTACCACAAGGACATGTGCTCAATTATGTACAGAGCACCATTGTTTGTCATAGTCAGAACCTGGACAACCTAAATGCCCCTCAACCAAAGATGAATAAAGAAGATGTGGTACATTTACACAATGGAATAATACACAGCAGAAAAAAATAATGACATTTTGAAATTTGCGGGCAAATGGATGGATCTAGGAAACATCATATTGAGTGAGGTAACCCAGACCCAGAAAGACAAATATAATACATATTCACTCATAAGTGGCTTTTGGACATAAAACAACGAAAAACCATCCTACAATTCACAATCCCAGAGAACCTAGACAACAAAGAAAACCCTAAGAGAGACATACATGGATAAAATCTACATGAAAAGAAGAAAAAATAATATCTCCTGAGTAAATTGGGAGTGTGGGAATCATAGGAGAGGGTAAAATGGGAGAGGGAAAGAAGGGAAGGGAGGGGAGAAAATTATATAGCTCAACTAAAACAATTTAAAAAACCAGGAAAAATATTTCTTTATTTTATGTGTATAACTGTTTTGCTTGCATGTATGTATATGCACCATGTGCATGCCTAGTGCCCTTCGAGGAAAGAAAAGGGCATCAGATATCCTAAAACTGGAGTTACAAATGGTTGTAAACCATCATGTGAATGACTGGGAACCAGACTACTCCTCTGCAAGAGTAGTCAATGCTCTTAGCTCCACGGCCATTGCTCCAGCCTCTATAAAGCTTTTCATCTGAACATCACTTTATTCCATCCCATTGCTATACAGAAAAGCAAATTAATTCAGAGGGAATGTTTTATGGGCAATTCTCAACAAAATTGTACTAACAAAATTATCGATAAATTTTAATGTGAGAGTCTACAAGTGCACATCCATTATAATTAAGGATGATAAGCCAAAAACAGGCCTACTCCTCACAATAGCAAACATCAACAGCCCCTATACAAATACCATCTACTCCAGTTGGAAAAACAGCAGCCCCTAAAGAAGCCAAAACTGTACAGTGGAAAAAAAGAAAGCATCTTCATCAAATGGTGCTGGCATAACTGGATGTCACCATGTAGAAGAATGCAAATAGATCCATATCTATCCCCGTGCACAAAACTCAAGTGCAAGTGGATCAAAGACCTCAACATAAACCCAGTTATACTGAACCTGATAGAAGAGAAAGTGAAAACGAGCCTTGAATGCACAGACACAGGAGACTACTTCCTAAATGTAACAGCAGCAGCACAGATACTGAGAGAAACAATTAATAAACGGGACCTCCAGAAACTGAAAAGCTTCTGTAAGGCAAAGGACATGGTCAACAAGACAAAACGGCAGTCTACAGAATGGGAAAAGATTTCATCAACTCCACATTTGACAAAGGACTGATCTCTAATATATATAAAGAACTCAAGAAACTAGACATCAAGATATCAGATAATGCCATTTAAAAATGGGGTACAGATCTACAGAGAGAATTCTCCTCAGAAAAATGTCAAATGGCTGATGGATATTTAATGTTCAACATCCTTAGTCATCAGGGAAATGCAAATCAAAATGACTCTGAGATACCATCTTACACCAGTCAGAATAGCTTAGATCAAAAACACTGATGACAGCTTATGTCGGAGAGGATGTGGAATAAGAGGAACACTCCTCCACAGCTGGTGGGAGGGCAAACCTATAGAGTCACTTTGGAAATCAGTACGATGGTTTATCAGAAAATTGGGAATCAATCTACCTCAAGATCCAGCTATAGCACTCTTGGGCATATACCTGAAGGGATCCTCCATCATAACACAAGGACACTTACTCAACTATGTTCATAACAGCATTATTTGTAATAGCCAGAACATGGAAACAACCTAGATGCCCCTCAACTGAGAATGGATAAAGAAAACGTGGTACATTTACACAATGGAGTACCATATTACTCAGTTGTAAAAAGCTATGAGCTCATGAAATTTGCAAGCAAATCGATGGAACTAGAAGAAACTATTCTGGGTGAGACAACCCAGACCCAGAAAGATGAACATGGTATGTACTCACTCATAAGAGGTATTAGGAGTAGAGTATTGGATAATTAACCTAAAACCCACAGTCCCAGAGAGGCTATATAACAAGGAGGGCCCAAAGAGAGATGATGCATGGATTGCCCTGGAAAATGAAAATAGAAGAGATCTCCTGGGTAAACTGGGGGCAGGGGAGGGGAGGACAGAGGGATGGAAACTTGAGGGAGCAGTTTGGGTGGGCTGAGTGCTGGAGGCAGGTTGGAGGCTAGACTGAGCAGGAGTGTAACAAAAGAGACATCTTGATGGGGGGATCATTTGGGGGTTAAAGAGAAACCTGGCACTTCCCTCAGTGTAAGATCTGGCTGCCCCAGTAGTGTTGCCATGGAGATCATTAGAGAAGGGAGCAATCTCATCAACGACCACAAAGTGACCCCCACCTTTGCTTTTCCTCAGTTCCTCCACAAGGCACCGTGCTTCCTCCTGTACACGGTCCTCAATGCTCCTCTTCCCCATCCCAAAGTTCCGCAGGGTCATGATGGAGAAACGCCGGATCTCCCTCCATTTCATCCCATTGCTGAAAAGGATTCCTACCAGGATGGGAAACAGGAGCTAGTCAGGAAGCCGACAAGGAAATGGCGCATGGAGCCATCTGGATGATCCAGAGCAGCCGGAAGCGCATCCAGTCTCATCTGCATGGCCAAGGCCCAACTCACGTGTGCACACATTTGTACTCACACTTACCAAGGCCTCTGTTTACTCTTTCAGATATTGGAAAACTGCCTCTTCCAGAAAATTCCTCTCCAAAATTAACAAGGGCCTCCTTCACGGCTTCATAGCCATGCAGCACCACAGAGGGCTTCGTGCCAAAATGCAGAGTGAACACAGGGCCATAGACTTTGGAGAACTGGAAAGTCGGGGGGAATATCCAAATAACAGTGAAAATAAAATCAGTATGATCTACTGATGTCATTTGGTTGCTGGATTTCATACATAAAAACAATGTTGTTTGTTGTAGCTGCCACGGGCAGAATGTCCCCCATTTGCCAAGAACTTACGAGGGAAATCCTACGCAGACCATCACAACTAACCAACACCTTGAGCTACATTTATTAATTTTACAGCTAAAGAGACTGAGGCTTAAAGGATTTCCAATTCATCTCAGCATTACCTAAATAAAAGACCCAAATTTGAACCCTGCTTAGTGAATTTCTGCTACCTGTCCAGACAGTCCCCAAAGTCCACACTAGACAAATGTCCAGCTGCTACTGAACTTCTCCAAGACCACCTACTGAGCTCTTTTCAGGGGATTCTGTGACTAATAATTAGAAATCTATAAGTTTTTAAGTCCTTTGGGACTGGGGTTATGGTTCGGAAAATGCTTGTTATAATGCATGCTGTGCAATCGTGAGGACTGGACTTCAGATCCCAGTGAATGCATAAAAAGCTAGGTGTTCTCAGGTCAATAATCCCAGCCCTGGGGAGGCAGAGACTGGTGGATTTTGGGGCTTGATGACTAGCCAGATGAGCCAGTCACTGAGATCTAGGCTCAGTGGCCTACCTGGTCTTAAAAAATAGGATGGAGAAACCATTGAAGACACTCCGCTTCATTCAACCTCTGGCTTCTTCACCCAGGCACACAAACATCTACACACACACAAGCTCAGAGAGAGAATTTATGTGCATTATAGCATTTCTCTATTCCTGACAATGGCACCCTAAATACTAGAACCTATGTGAATATTTGCTGTAAATAAAATAGTTAAATAATAGCCGAGATTAATTTTCTTTTGAAACTTAGTAGAGAAAAGCACTTACGTTGGTTAAGGATTTGCTGACGTCCTTCACGTCTATCTGCAGGATGTTTCCAATAAACGGGAGAGGAGTGGGGCCAGGGGGGAGCTTCCCTCTCCCCGAGTTCTGTCTCCAGAGTGAGAGGAGAAGCAGGCAGGAGACAGTGAACACCAGGACTGTGACCAGATCCATGGCAGCCTTCTCTTCTCAGGGAGACACCCGTGAGCTTGCAGTCCAGAGCTTTTATAACGCTCGCTGCGAACTCAACATGCGCCTCCGAGGCACAAGCGACCAATCAGCGAGGTTTACTCTAATCTGTCTTCTTCGTGGACTCTGGCCCGCTGAAAACTACAAACGGAAGCTGTTCTTCACTCTCACACACTGCTATTCCACCCTGGAAGCCTGTCACAACTGGCCCAGGGTGGGACCCATAGACTGTGATTTTTGGTTTTGACTTCACCACAGGTGATTCCAACATGCAACCTAAACTGGGTGGTGGGGGAGGGGACAATAAAGTAAATCATTTGCTCAAAAGATTGTTCAAACATTTAAAACAAATCATATACATACATACATACACACACACATATATATAGTAATATTTACTTGATAAAGCTTCCCAGTGATTGCAATATATGGCTTAAAAATGAAGCCCTTTTTAAAAATGCTTTAGTGTGCTGTAGTAACACTAGAGTTGATTAATCACCGGTTAAGCCACGTAATTAGCTCTGTTAACATACCACACCTTTTGCCATTTGACATCCTGCAAAGCCCTTTTGGGCAGAAGATACTCTTTTCACCCCCTCAGAGAGTGCAGGCTACCAGACTGGCAGCGGCTCAGCTGGCAGAGATCGCTCGGGACGCCCACCATACTGACTATTGACAAAATGAGGCCCGCGTTCTCCAGAAATTAAACCAATAGTACAGCTTCTCCCTTTCATTCCCTCAGGATGGGAAACTCTCTCAGCTGAGAGTCCCAGGCAAAGCCCTCTGCACATTGTTCTCATTTTCTGCCATGCTGTGCTGCCTGGAGCGTCGAGAAGGATCAAGCCAATCTGGACTCTCTCCCACTTTCCACGCGAGTTTTCTTACTATTACGCTATGCCCAGGTGCTGCTGTCACGCACCTGATTTCTTTAACGCTTGTGGCGCTGTTTTCTTGTGTGAGTAGTTGCTCAGATGGCTGATTCTCTTGGGGAAAGCCTGCTAATTGCTGAGTATTCCACCATCTTGCTCAGGCTTTGCTCTGCGGAAAAGCCTAGTCTGAATAACTTCCTCATTCCCCAGCAGCCCGCCCTCCAGAAGCAACAGCTGCTTCTGTGGTTTTTTTGGCCTGTTACCATTTGGGATGAAGAAATACAGGAACACAGAGCAGACTGGGAGGAGGGGTTCAGAGTTAGCTAGGCAGAGCTTCAGGCATGTGCTCTTGGGAGGGATGGAAGAAAGGACTTCAGCATACAGACCCACTGCCCTGAGGACCACAGAGGGGGCTGGTGGAGAAGGATATGGACCACCATCACTAGAGCACTTGGGAGGGATGGAAGAAAGGACTTCAGCATATAGACCCACTGCCCTGAGGAGAACAGAGGGAGCTGGTGGAGAAGGATATGGACCACCATCACTAGAGCAGAGCTTTCACACGGGCATGATATGCAAAGCTGTATCGGTCCTCAATTAACCAGTACAGGGAGTTGTCCTTAAATTTTTTTTAATTTATTTTTATTTCCTCTTCATGGGAGTTTCACCTGTATGTACGTCTGTGTGAGGGTATCAGAAGCCATGTGTGAGCTGCCATTTGTGTACTGGAAATTAAACCCAGGTCCTCTGGAAGAGCAGCCAGTGCTCTTAACTGCTGAGTTATCTCTCCAGTCCTCTTAAAATTTTCTTTTTATTGGCTACATTTAAAGTGTGCAACATGATACTCTGGTATGCACATTTAAATGATTACTATACTCAAACAAAGCAACATAATTCACCACTTTACACCAGTTACTTTTTCTTCCAAGCAAAGCTGTGCTTCCTGGAATTCTGGAAGAGAAAACCTAAATCTGTCCTTTCCCCACCTTTGCAATGAGATTTATTATTATGCTATACCCAGGTGTTAAACTCTGTGGAACTGGCATACAGCTCAGTGATACAGAGATTGTCCAGTATGTACAAGGCCTGGGTGTAACGGCGTAAGCGAATGCAGACAGATTGTCAAAATATAGACAGCTTTAATGGAGGAATAGACTTACAGAACCACTGTTCCCGCGTAGACCAGGAAAGCAGAAGAAGAGAGCGCTGGGAGCACGCTCACCAATTTTATAGGAGAACTTTAGCCTGAGGCGAACACGCCCCCTAAGGGGTGGGACTTATCCCTACATCTCCCCCTTTTGTCTAAATAAGACAGAACTAAACCAAATACAACTATATACAATAATAACAAATAAATATAACAAACAATATTGAGAATCAAAAGTTTTGCTAAACATTCTATCTCAAGGAGTCTAAATAATGTAGAGAGTAACTACAATTATATAATCTTCAACTCCATCAAAGATCCGAGAAGGCAATAAATATTACTTAACAAACGATCCAAATGTGTAACAATTGACAAAGACAACTGACTACCTGAGCAATCACCCAAAGTCTCGTTTGCAATGTTGAGTCAACCAACTTTGGCTAAGGCCTAACATAACTGACATACCATTATTAAAGGCAAGGAACTTTTCAAAACTATCTTACCCTGTCTTGGCAGGATATGACAGTCCTGTTGTATCCATTGATGCACGCTCTGTATCTTTGTCAGTGGTTGAGGTATGGGCTTTTCTTAACCCAAAGGCCAGTTCTGCCAAGAAGACAAGCTCCCAGTGGAGTGTCTTTGGTGCTCAACGTTCTCTCGGGAATAGAGCGGTGTTGCCAGGAGCAATTGTGTCTCACTATCACGAAACTCTGAGTTATATTAAAGGCCATATTCTACAGCTCTCCAAAGAGGTTGAAGATTATCTATCTATACTGAGTATAATCTCTATATATCTAAAGAACCTGATTAGTCTAATTACAAATGACAAACTTAGATGACTATTAATCTATATAATTCTCAATATCTATCTAACTTAAAGACTAAAACAATAAACAACTGTGCAATATATGAAGACAATGATCTTCATCTGTAAACAATGT